GCACTTCCTGTCTAAAGAAATTTTTTTGCCAGCCACCCCAGGTAACTGAATAAACTGTATCAGCAGGCTACACCCTTCTCTGCTGGGAAGACAGGAGAACAGGACCGCAGCAGTGAGATTGCAGTGCAACTGCAGTGTGCCCACACATAGAATGCGGCTAGGGAGTAAAAGCTTGACCACCACAAAACAAGTCTGTTCAGAGCTGGATTTTTCAGTCGCTTTGTTATGTAGGTGCCCTGATTCAGCTGGACACAGAAGTGTACCTCCAAGCCTGACTTTATCAGGACAACTTCTGTTTAAAGGTGTTGGCTGAGTCAGGGCCAATAACAGGAGCCATCACTAGCACCGTACCTTTCAGTTTTACAGCCCAGGGTTTCAGATTGTCTACACCTTACTCACTCTGCCTTCCTAAAATGTTTCATGCACTGGAGCAAGACCACAAAGTACTTATAAGCCATGCGTATAACTGATTAACACGGCTCATATCTGTTGCAGGAAGAAGATGCATGAGACACCCAGGTTAGCAAAAGAATTGGCACAAAGGTTTTTTGGCACAAAAAAAAGCTAGGGATCAAAATTTAGCTTTCTAAGTATATGGTTTTAAATTACCTCTATTTGTATGAACTGCTCTGTTATATGAGACTCTATTGCTATCATGATTAAATCTTTAAGAAAATCACACCTGATAATTACAGGACCAGAACGGAGAACATTTATACTGTGGTATGCTTTAATATAAGAAACTCAAATCAAACATACATGTAAAAAAATATGCCTACTGGACTTTATAAAGAGTGTTACTGTGCATAAGCAGAATGCAGAATATATGTTTCTCTATTTTCTGTAGCATCATCAGAAAAATATGTATCTGCATGTACACTGTGCTAGTTGGGTAGGGACTGTTTGCTGGTTGAAAAGTTAAGCATATGCATGTAGCTTTGGGTCTTTACACTAACATGAATGTTTTCATTTAAAGGAAGTTTTGCACAGTCTTGCATAGAAAATTTAGGCTAGCTTACTACTTCTTGAACTCATGCTAATGTATGCTGTTTGCTGGTTAATCTGTGGATGCACTAAGTAGTTTAAATACTGTATGACTATAATCCAAAGCCCAAACTGTATGTGGAGTTCTAACAGGGATTTGGCTGGTATATGCTCTTAAAGGTGACTTTAAAAAGAAATATATATATAACTGTTTGTTTACTGAGAATGTATACAGAAACGGTCTAAAGGGATTTTAAGGATGTGTTTTTTCACTTCTCCTCACAAACTCCCATTTGACCAAAATTGTTTATTATACATAAGCATTCCACCAGGTGAAGAGTCCTAGTTCAAATGTTTAGTGTCTGCACCCTAATGGGAACAGAGTATCATTCCATGAATATGAACAGCACCTTACCAGCTTCTCTTCCTGCTGGCACAGGCAAGACAATCAATAGTTTGCAGCTCCCAAGGGCTCACAGATTAAGACATAAAACTCCTTCACATGAAGCATTTTGCCAACAGATCAACATAGAATAAAGCAAGAAGTTGTTTTCATTCTAGTTTAGATGGCAGTTTCTTCATTCTGCTTTTATTTTCATTTTAGTCTCACCCATCCCCACTCTCTAGGCTTTCTTTCTTTCTTTCTCTCCTTTTTTTTTTAAGGCATGGTCCAATTGATGCTTTTTGCATGGTTTCTGTGTGACCTTCAGTATTTTCCTCTTACAGTCAAACCTCAGTCCATCATCTACCTTGAGACCTGACCCAGTTGTATACAGCATCGTGCACAGAACCTTTGCTCCCCAGTGACAATCACTGACTTGAACAGAGCCCTGCACACAGTTTGTATTGCAGCTCTGGGTCTCTGGCTACCAGTCTGTTGTGCAGAAGGAAAGGAAGGGGTTACTTTTTTTAGGTAGTTCTGAAAAATAGGGTGTGAGACAAATTAAACTGAGAAAGAAAAAGAATGTAGTGGCTTAGGACACAACACTTTCTATAGATCACTTTGTCTTCTCCCTTCAAAATTCCACTTGGTCTTTAACATATATTACAGCTATCATGTTATTATATATAATTCTAAATTAGAATATTCAAGGAATGTCATAAAATCTGCTGCAGCAGAAACTAGGTCTCTCTCTGTAAATATTTTTCTCTACTAAACAACTTAGCATTACAATAATCCTTGTGAACAAAGAAAAAATGCCAGACCCTAATCAGCACGCAGCAGGGGTAGGTCATGAACACATTTATCTTTCTTCTCAAAAGCCTCCCCTGGATAAAGGAAATGCCCTAATACTCAAGGCATCTTGGACACCAGATGGCTGATTATTAGACATTTTACGAAGAGGAAGGAAGTAAAGAGAAACAGCTTGAATTTTCATGGTACTGTAGGGACAGTGAAAAGGAAGGCAGAATGAGAACTTCATCCAAAACTCACTGACAGGGAAGACCCTGATTTCAAAGGGTTTTGAATAGGAAGGAACGAAAGATCTTGTTTGCTTTTCTTTCTGCAGGCTAATTCTCAGTTCTTCAAGAGCTAGAATGATTGATTTGTGAGTATGTTTCTTCCTATTATTATCACTGTAGTGATGATAGTGATGATAGTTGAGCCAGTTTTTCTGCAGAAGAAAGGTCTGAGTTTTTAAATATTCCCAACAACGTTGTAACCTTTCTTGAAACTATCTGCAGGTTTTTCATAGGCCTCTTTCTCAGGCCTCTGAGAGCCTGACTCAGTGAGCAGGAGCTTGTGGTAAGGCCAAGAGGAATACTAATATATGCAGGCATTGCTTGCAGAATTCTACCTCCTATGTAAGAATTCTATAGGAAAACCAATTGGATGCATTTGGACTCATCCTCTCTTAATACAAGCTGACCCAATCTGTTTTACACTGGCTGAACTAACTAATGCTGTACCTTCAGCTATCTAGACAGCTCTACAGGTTACAGCAAGTAAAACATACTCTAATCATAGATATTTACTGGAATATTTATATATGTATATGTATAATTTATGCTAGAATAGTTATTTTCACCTACCTGGACTTTCAGAAAGCCAACTCCTTCCATGTCTATCTACTACATGGTTCTAGCAACCCTTCTAAAGCAAAGATGTTAATCTTTTCAGGCTCTTCCCAAAGCTTTCTACTTAAGAGCTACAAGACACATGTGCAAGAATGCTTAGGGCAATGAAACTTCACGGGTATTTTACAAGTGAAGGATGGCAGCAGCTCCTCCAAGGTCACAGCATGTGCTGTGGAAGGACATGGTGCCTCAGGTGTGCAGATGAACCTTGAGAACGCGGATGTGGGAGCCAGTGGTCTCTGTGGTCCTGCCCCTCCCATGGAAAGGGATGTGGATTATCCAGCCAGCCCTGCTGATCCCAGCACAGCCTTCTTGTTAGGTATGTGATGAGAGACATAATGAATTGTTTGAGCAGTGAATGTGGTCACCCCATTTCTGGGGCACTGCACATGTAGATGTGGAAGCAGAGTTGCAGAACTGGAAGCAAGGCCTCCCATGAACAGTGCAAGAATTGATGGTAAAATCTCTCCACAAAGAACAAGCTGCATCAGGAAAAAGCTGGGTTTTTTTTTTGGTTTTTTTTTTTTTTTTTTCCTTTTGTCATTAAAACTGGCAGAGAGAAGAGTTTTGCTGGCAAAAGAAAGGCATATAGAGGTGTGAGGAGTTTCTATTCATTATGCTAATCAAGATAACTACACTGCCAAAACACTGAAGTGCTGTACAGGCCTTAGGGTGTGCAAAAGCAGAACCTGGACTCACTCACTTCTGTGGCCATGTAATATCAAACAAATCCACGAGCACAGACTGCAGTGTGAATAGATGACTGATCTGTCAAACTTCCTTTGCTTTTTTAAAATAAGAAGAATAAAGGGCTTGGGGGAATGGAGTCATGTGGAATAACAACTCTGAAAATTACCACGGGCTTTGGAACATTTCCTCAAAGGTGTAAGAGAGGCTGTTGTGATGCAGCTCTGTAATACACTAATGACAGAGGTACTGGCAAAATCAATTAAAACTTTTAGCTGTGGTTGCAACTCAGGGGCTGTAATCTCCTTACGCAATACACTTGAAAGCCTTGTAGAACACAAGCCTGTTTTTTGCACCACAGTATATTCCTCCTCCCTTGCCATATTATGGGTTGTTGGGCTTTCTTTCTTTCTTATTTTTATCTTTACTCTCATAATATTTAACCAAATAAGCTTGTTATTCTGCCACAGATAAAACAAACATAGGAAAGCTCCTTGCAGGGATGGGTATGCCTGTCCTAGGGGAGGAGCAGCAGCTTATCTGCCCCAGGATTTTGTGAGGTAATCCTGCTTCGTCATTTTTGATTATCCATGCGTTGTTTTGTTGATCAAAGATTTGTCTTTTTGCCTTACACACATATATAATGCCAATATATAAATTGCACAACGGGGTTATGGCAGCACGAGCCAATCTTTGGTATGTTTATCCATGCAGAGACATAAGCCTCTGTCTTTAGAGGCGAGTGTTTCCTCTCCTTGTTAGACCTATGAATATCTCTCACCAACGAAGTTTGTCAGTTTTCACTGCTGGCAAGTGTGCTGCTACAACAAACCCTGCAGACTGGCAAGCCTCCAAGTGGGGCGGGAGCTAAATCCTCCCTGCTATCATTAGTTAGTATTTACATTATGGCAGAGCATAGAGGCTTCTAGCTGTGATTCAGGCGTTGCTGTGCAAGGAGACAGTAAAAGACACTTCCTGCCCCAAGCAGTTTATAGTCTAAACAGAAGAGCCTGGTGATAAATAACAGAGAAAAGGCAGTACTTTTGCAACATGGAAAAGCCTGCAAAACACGAGATGTTTCTAAAAATAAATGTTAAGTCTTTGTATTTGTTTTATAGAATAACTAACATTTGTAATTTCAAGCCTTCTTAGTCCTTAAAGCTAGACAGTTTTTACTTATTCTAACAGCTACAGTTCTTGCTTACTCACACGACTCCAGGAGGCAAGGTCTTTTCAGATGAACACATCATGTCGATGATCTTCCTTCCAGTCCTGTGTCAAAGTTCCCTGCTGCTGACCTGTCCAGAGAAAACAATGACTGCAGCTACACAGCCAGATTCTCATGTTCTCTATTTGTGGAGCAAGAATTGTTTCTCTTATCTTGACCAAGTACAACAGCTTTCTCCCACTAAAGCAATTGATTTTTAAGAACAGCAGTAAAGTTTAATTTTCACATACTCCATTATTCTCAGTGCACATTTCAGTTTCCCATTTATTTCATGTACCCGTGGTCCCACTGGTAAATACTGCTGTCAAACCTGTAGATTCACTGTTTCATCCCTCACTTTTGACCTTGCCATTTTAAGTGGCAGAAGACTGCTATAAATTCTTGGTTTCTCTGATGACCACTGATATAAAAGAAGGGAGAAAAGATGTAGACAGAAAGAAGTGGGTGTTTTGCTTGATCCAACTTGGCCCTTAGTTGTAAATTATTGCACTACGCTTAGCAAACAGGCAGCTGAGCAGGAAAAAATCTGTGGGAGAAGTAAACTTCTACGCTATGCATTTTCTTGAAGGTGTAGAGGCAAATGTCAAATTCACATGCATTGTTTGGTTCTGCTGTAGGCAATGGAGATGTTTATACTGAGGAAAATGATTAGTATTTATCCCATGAACCTCACCTCGCCATCTTCACTCTTTCTGCATATTCTGAAAAGACTACCTAACAGCTTGTCTAAAAATAGGACTGAACTTTCTTAATTTCATAGCAGACAAGCATGCAGGAACTACTGTGTGTTATTGCACTGCACTGCAAAGAGAAAGGAATACTCATACTGTCTGTGTAGGAGGAAGTCTCTGAGGGGAAAATCATCAATAATAAAGGCCTCTTTTATTTGAATCACCTAACATTTCAGCTCTTCAAATCCTAACTCTGAATTTTCTTAAAACAGGTTTCTATTATCTGTGTTAAACACATCAAACTGAGTAATTCAGTCTCATCATCTAAATTCAGTGTTGTGATAGCAGATTGTAATTGGGACAAGCTACCTAAAGAGGTAATAGAAGGCTTGATAAAAGCAGTATGTGAAATGTGTGTTTAAGGCATTACATAAAGGCCTTAAAACATATATGTGAACATATGTGAGAACAGTATAAAATGGTGCTCTGTCATAGCTGGTTTTGTGGGGCTGGAATAAGGGACACACTTATTGTGAAATCCTGCCAGCCTTGACCATGAAATCTCAAACATTACACTACCTCCTCACCTCTGTGTTCACAAAAATCTGCTCCTGGTATCTCAGGTATCTCAGCATCACATCTGCTCAGCGCTCACCCTGTATGAAGGCTGGCTGCAGCTTGGCACGAAACCCCAGCTTGTGGTCCTCTGCTAAGGCACCTTTGGGGCTCACCTCAGCATAAGAGGTTCCCATGGATTAGTGTGAGCATCTTTATGTCTGTTTTTCCTGCCTAGCTGTGGGAGTCAAAGCAGCTAGCCTGGAAGAGAGCAGCGCACTCTTCTTCCACAGAAGAGCACTCAGACATTCTCCATTTCTGCAAAGGTGACAGCCTCATGAACATGCAAGCCCTGAGCAGTGCTGAGCAGGGACAAGAATTCATGGCAAGGACTGTTTAGTCAGCACATTTTTCCATGCAGGCCTGGAGGGCAGTCTTGTGCACTGGAACTGGAGTGCTGCCTACTTACTGTAGCCAGTTCAGGAGCCCAGCACTCACAACACAGTACATCAACATTCAGAGAGAATGCCAAATATCTTGTCATGCATAGCCCATAATTTTCCTGGTTTGCTTTCTTATGCAATAAACCTGGTTTGTTGTCTTCTAGCAAATGGATGTTCTCAGGCAAGTATACAAAGAATGTTTATGATAATAATACCCCTGTTAATAACATTGCTAAGATCCAGACACTTGTAATTCAAGACTACAGTCTGTCACACTTCTACAAACCACAATTTCCACTGCTAAACTTTCAGTGCTCCTAAGAGGAGGGGTGTAAAGACTTTTTCATTAGGTTGGAATGATGGAGGTAATAAAGTGACTTTTCCAAAACCACAGGACATATCACATGGCAAACGAAACCCTAATCCAGCAAAGCCCTTTGTGTGGATGAAACTTACAGCATGTGAAGAATAATGAAATCAAATACTCGGCTTGATCCACCTTCTTTAAGAATAATCACCAAACAGAGTACGTCACACTATTTGATGCAAGGACAACCAAACTAACGCGTAGACCAGTATTCATCTGATCATGAGAAAAACAGCTGTGTCGACTGATTTGCCCTGCTCCGCTATCTCATGTCCTATATCCACAGATACTCCCCCTTTTTTTAGTTTGCGTAAAACTTTCTTCTGTATTGCCACACGTGGCTCAGACATCATTCTGGCTTTTTAAACCTGCTGTCAATCTGATCCATTGAAAGAGGCTATCTCCTATCAGCAGAGCACAACTACATTATCCTTCTGCATCCGTCACATCAGATGAACAGTCCTCATTGTGCAGGCAGCTGGGCGGGTCAGCTCTGCAGGGATGTGTCCCACACTACTGCAATGCACACAGCTCTGGGTGAGCCCAACAGACAGCATTTGCAGCCAGTGCACCTGCTGCGCAGCTACCTGTGCCACTTTTCTAGAATTTCCACAGTGAAAGATGAGCCCATGGTGGTTTCACAAGGCCATTTTCTCTTGTTCACGATATCAATAAATCCGTATCACATTTAAGTGTTTATAAGTTGTTTTTAATAACACCCACCTCATGTGCCTGGCCTTTACTATGCAGACACGTATGTCAAAGAACACACATATCTGACGGATTGACAGAACATCTGGAAAACCCTATTTTAGGAAAACGCTCTATGGCCTTGGCAAGGGACTTGCTTAAGGCCAGCACGTGGTCTGTATCCGCACACCAGCACAGAACCACGACAGGACCGCTGAACTCTGCAACTCCTCAACCTGAGGAGCAGGGCTCCAGCGCCTCCAGCTTCGCCATGGCCACGGCCAACCCACCTGGAATCACCAAGGGGCTTTTGTGGGACGTTGCTGAAAACCTACAGCACTGTTTGTACGCCGTCTTTAAGCTCTGTTTTGGTTCTAGTGACATTTGGCATCCGTAGACGCAAGGACTCGGCCGGACCCGCTCCGCAGCGGGGCAACGCACCATCAGCCCCGGCCCACGCATCCCACAGGGCGGACCGGGCCGGACCCGGCGTCACTCCTCTCCCCATCTCTCGGTGTGCCAACGGCCGGGCTCATCCGGGGCGAGGCCCGAGTCCCGACGTACCTGCGGGGGCCCGTGGGACTGTAAGGTGGGCTGAAGGCAGCAAGAGGCTGAGGCGGGAACCGCTGAGGCGGACAGGGGGACGCCGAGGTGGGCGCTGAGGCGGGAGCCGCTGATGCTCCCGCTCAGGAACGCTGAGGCGGAGCGGCCGCCCGCGCCCCCTCGCGGAGCCGCTGCCATCTGCGCGGGACGAGCGCTCCGCGGTGCTGCTCGGCGCGCTGCGTGCTGATACGCGGTAACTGCCCGGAGAGGAGAGGAGAGGCGAGGCGGGGCGGGGCGAGCCGCCTCCTGCCCTCTCTCCCTCCCTCCTTCCTTCCCTGCCCGCCGCTCCCCCCGCCGTCGCCGCCGCCTCTCCTCCCCGGCCTCCCTGATGCCGAGGAATGGATAGAGCGGCTGCCCTGCGAGCCGCCGGCATGCTGGAGAGGAAGGAGCGGGGCGGCGAGGCGGCGGGGCCGGCCGTGCGGAGTACCGTGCAGCAGTGCGGGCTGCTCCAGGACCTCATCGACATCTCGCTGTCCAACCTGCGCGGGCTCCGCACCAAGTGCGCCGCGTCCAACGACCTGACCCAGCAGGAGATCCGCACCCTGGAGGTACGGGCCAGGGAAGCCCCGGCGCCGGGATGCGCCGGTCCAGGGGCCGGGCCCTGTCGCCAGCGCCGGGAGCTGGCGCTCTTTCAGGGTACCGGGCGGTGGGGAGGGGAGGGGAGGGGGAGGGAGAAGCCCTTCCTTTCTGCCCGGGCGCAGAGGGGAGCGAGGCGACGCGGAAGGGAAGCAGGAAGGGGGATCGGCCGCCTCTCCGCGCAAGCTGCGGGGCCTCGCCGTCCTGTCGCGGTCCCGTCGGGCCACCGGCAGCGAGGCATCCCGCCGGCCCAGCGCTGCGCCGGTGCCCGCGGCGAGGGAAGGCGCGCCGGGCCGGACAGGTGCGGGAGCCGCGGGCAGGCCGCGATGAGCCCCCGCCCCTTCGCGCTGCTGCCGCCCGGCTGCCGGCCTGTGGCGGACTGCGCGCCCAGAGTGGCAGGTGCGGGGCGAGGCGGGGACCGGAGGTGCTTTCGGAGTGCCTGGCTGAGCCGAGGCGCCGCGTGCCTTGTCCCAGGATGCTGGACGCGCAGATGTTTCCCGCGGGTCTCTGGTGTTTCTGGTGGCTCCTGCTCTGCCCTTCCAGGCCTGTCTCTCTATCCCTGGCTCGGTTTCGCTGATCTAATCCGATCCTCCTTTCCGCTCCGTTGGTGTGGCTGACGGCGGCGTTGCGGTCCACATTGGAGAGATGCTCCGCTGTTCAGAGGCGTTAAGCAGAATCCTTTATGCAGAGAACGTGTGCTTTTTTGATGCTTTCAAACACGATCTGACTGTATGCATGAGTGTTTGGAAAGGAATTCGGAGTTGTTCCGTTTGTTTGACCTTAAATACTGAATAGTGCTTCCCTTTGCCTTATGTGCAGGTAATGCTGCTCTGAGCAGAGTACACAGTTCCCACCTATCTCCTGCTTGGTCAGAAGTGGAGGCCAGTGCTCCTTTTCCCTAGCCCAATTCTGCGGGCTGCAGAGCTGGAGCATCAAGCTCAGAGAAGGAAAATCCTTGTAATAGTGAACCTGGAACAAACATATGCTAGAAAGTCCCTCACTTAAATGAAGCTAGGGAAAACAAATGATGGTAACTCTCAGCATAGCCTCTTAGAAATCTATTGTTTCTTCCTCAGCCTTTCTTTCCTCAAAAAAAAAAAAAAAAAGTTGGTAGTTTTTTCTTCCTGCCACCTCCAAATAGCCTTCAAAAGACTATTCTTCATAACAGTACTTCTGTAGACTTTTGGCAACCCTGCTGTCTTTTCAGTGCTCAAACAATGTAAATCACAATCAGTTTGGAGAACGATCATCAGTATTTTGCTGGTGGACCCATTCTGAAAGGAAACCTTTAATCACAGAGTCCAAAGGCCTGCTATCATCTTCAGGTTGTTCTGAAAGCAACAAAAATTATTGCTACTGATAGTTACTGAGTGTGTGTCTGCATTCCTTAAGCAATTATCTGCTTAAACCAATGGGTGCCACATTCACCGGTGATCATAAAATTTGTCCCTCATCAGAAGAATCTCTGATGTGCTCCCCAGTACGTGATTTCTCTGGGAATTCAACCAAGTGCTGAATCCCTGCCACCCCATGAAGCTACGGGAACAGGTACAGACTTTCTGCCCTTTGCTCTCTTCAGTTGCCTGTGCCTGAAGACACGATGTCAAGCAGGGGCTCAATCTCTCGCTTAGTGACTCTGCGCAGTCTGAAGTGGGTTTGTGTGCTGCTGCTGAGCACAGAACCGGGCTGTAGGAACTGAGGGTCTGCGTTTGTTTTCATGTTGTGATTTCTTGTGCTGTACCATGGGGACTCCTGGAGGGCTGCAGGGCTGCCCCAGTGACAGCTGGCCTTTGTCATTGTGCTGGTTGTCATTGTGCCATATTAACGTGTCAGAAATGTGTGCATATGTGCTCATACACATTTGCCCATCCGATCAAGTCAGTTCAGGAAGGTGCTCCAATACTGCACAGAGCCAGTGTTAGCAATAGCCTGACTGCAGCATCAGTCACTGTGCAGCCTGTGAGCAGCTCCTTGCCAGTCAGTCGCAGCGTAATGAGAAGCTGCGAATTCGGACATCTCCAGGAGCCACTGAACGGCTTCATGGATCCTGCATAGTGGCTACTGGTGGTATGGCTGCTGGGCCTGCAAACCTCATGGGTGCTTTGGTTTGATCCTAAATGTCTCACGTTCATGCGCAGAAATATCTTTGTGGAAGAAGAATTATGAGAACTTATCTGCATTGTATAACTGGTAAACTGTACAGCAAAGCCACAGGGATGTGATAAAACCATGGCATAATGCAAGGAACAAACTGGAAGCAGGATGTACTTACTTTGGGAGGGGAGGAGACTTAACTCTAGAAGTTAAGAAGTGGCTCCTGTAGCCAAATACCAGGCTGCACGTGTCTTTTGAAGACAATCGTGTACTGCATCAAAAATCAGTTTTGATTAAAAACAAAAAATGAAACTGATAAAGAACAAAAAGCAATGGAAGCTTCTCTAATATAGTCGGTACATAGTTCTTGTATGTTGAAAACTTTCATAATGTCTAGTTTTAGTATCAGACCTGTGAATGTGACAGGTGAAGGGATATCTCCTTGAACACAACATTCTGTATCTGTAAACCACAGATGTTCTGACCAAACAGGTGTAGCAGTGAATGCTGCTGGGTGAACACGGCTGTCTTAAACCCTGTGTCATGCAGGTCAGACAGCAGTGCATGCTCACTGCCACTTCTGGTTCCCAGGTTAGCACAGCCCTGGAGTAAAGTTCTGAAAGCAGTAGCACTATGAATTGAATTAGCATCCTAAAGCACCAGTGAAAAACAAATCTAAATGTATGTTACTTTTTACCCAAGATCTACTGTCTTTATCCTTTTTCCTCTGAGTCTTCGCGGCCTGTCGTGTACACCATGTGATTCATGATCTGTGCATACTTCAAAGTTAAGAACATCAGTATAACTAAAGGTGAGGTTGTGTGCATGTTTATGTCCCTCCCAATTTACTGAAATGCATCAAGGCTTTCCTCGTTCCTCTTTGTGCACAAGGTCTCAAACTGAAGCGCATGGGAGATAAGGATGTCAAACTGGAACCCCAGCAGGAAAAAATAAGCACTCATCAGTCTAAAGACTGTAGTCAGAACTTTCTGCAATGTAGAAAGAAGAAGGGGGAAAGAAAGGACTGTGGGAATTACTTAAAAGTAATGTGCTTAGATATGTTCCATGAGCTGAGCCCGTTTCACATGTATGAAGGCTGTTTCTTAGAAGGGCAGGGAGTTTCCTTGTAGTACAAAGTAGATTGTGCTGGCTTAGTTACTAGCAGAGTAGGTTCTCTGATACCATGAGGTCTTGTATTTTCTTAATTTTTATATGTTTTACTGAGTTAGTGCTTGAGTGTTTTTACCCTACGCTTTGGTGTATGGTTTTCTTTCAGTTCTGTCCTCGCAGGTTTACTCATTTCTCAAGTAGACTACAAAACTGAAGTGGAAAATAATGAGAGCAAACAATTTCTTGCCATGGGGTAAGCACCCAGTGTTGCCCCCAGATATCTTCGCAGAAGACTAACTGTCACAGTTTTTAACTCTGTCCTTGTGCATCCCTTGCATCACCATTAAACTGCTTTTGCAAAGTTAGAGGTATATTATTTTAGCTTGTTTGTTGGTTTTTTTTTGGAACAGTGATATCTTTCTAGGTCTGTCTGACTAGGAAGCTGCTAACAGGACGAATCCTCCAGCACTGCTAATTGCAACAAAGATGAGGCAGAACTAGGCTGAACTGAGACCCAGAGTATGTTTAGATTGGAGATACATTTTCTTTCTACCTCGATTCTTACATCATAAGAGCCAACTAGAGTGCTTCTGGGAAGGAAGCAAACTGGTTATGGTGGGAGTGTCGGGGTGGGGCAGCAGCATGCATTTAAGAAAACTGCTTTAATTCTCCTTGGTGACCTATGTCTCTGATGGAGACATCCTTGGCCCAGTGGGCAGAGATCACTTTGATCACTCTGACTTTCTCAGAAATGTCTTTTGTTCCGAATCTCCAGAAAATGTAATACCAGGTCGGAAAGCCTGATTTGTGATGTGCTGTGTCACAAATAAGTCTGTGACTCCTCAAATCAGTCTTTCAGTTTGGCTGAATGATACCTATAGGTAAAATATGTTTGAACTTGCTTTATCGTTATCTTCATTCACTTGGTAATTTGACTAGAGAAGGCTTATCTCTTAACAACCAATCACTGAGCAGAAACAAATGCATTGAAAATGAGGGGACGAATGGAAGGTGAAGAGCTGTAATTGTCCAAACTTGCAGACTGGAAGTTGGTTATGTGGTATGCATAAGTAACGAAAGACTGTGTGTTCCTAAATTTTATGTAGGGAGCAGTGAATTTTTCAGGCCAAACTGCAACCTGTAGCCACATGTTTATAAGCCCTGCTCAGCTGAAAAGACTTCCTTTTCTAACAGGTCTTACATAAGAGTTGTTCTTCCCTTACTTCATCTCACTTTTTGCATACATGCAGTGCATTTGTTTTTTCTCAGAGGTGAGCAGAAAGTTTTCTTTTTTTTCTACATTTGTGCATCTATTTGTATAAAATAGGCTTCAACAGAGAATCTCTTTGACTTGGAAGAAGAGAGAACCATGTGTTATTACAAAGTCATCATCTGTTCTTTCTAACAGCATGTCTCTGCATATGATCAGAATTTGTACATTGTAACAAGTTAGCTTATGTCCCACAATTAATTTTATATAAATGTTTATGTAAAGAGTCATCATGTTTTAACATACCTGGGATAAGCTCTGATGTGTAGGTTGCCATCACGATGAAGATGCAAAATGGCTTGCTCTTCACTTTTTAAGCTCTGTATGTACTTATCTCCTTGACTGGATTCTATGAAGCACTAAATGGGAAGCAAGAAGGAAAGTATCACAGTAAGTCTTAATAGTGCTTTTGTCTCCAAAATTCTGTTGCTGCTGGATTGCGTTACAGCAGAATTATTTCTGCTTGGAGCCAGCTTGGAGGTCCGTACAGCAGCTGAACTCAGTGAAGAAGTTCACCGGTATGTACGTGCCTGCACACACTGACAGGAACCCACAGGCTGTCGTGCTTGACGAGCCTCGCTCTCCACATACAAATTCTGATGTGTATTGCATGTTCAGAATTGATGCAATCAGGCAAGTAGCCCAGCCTGAACTCCAGTTATATCTAGCTAAACCTGTGGCTGTAACCAGTTTTGCATAGATAGCACTTGAACAGAGCTTGATGTGCCAGTCGAGTTCAGATGGCAGCAGGTAACTGCATTTTGCACAACAAAAACCCCAATGAGTGTTAAGGCTGCATACGGGTGACAGATTTACAGATATGAGTCAGCATGGTGGTACATAAATTTATCACCTGTTGTTCATAAGTAGGAACAATTAACAAAAGTCTTGCAATATGCAGAATTATTTAGGGAATAGTTACACTTAAAAATACATTGACACCACAGACCACGTGATCTTTCAGATGCTGGTGGGATAAAACTTACTTTCTTTAAGGCTAAGGTTTCCCATCCTTTTTTTCAGCCAATGTGGGAGCTTTCTCTTTCCAAAAGATAAATTATAATGAAATCATTCTTGGCTATCTGTCACTGTTTTGGGGATTGGAGAATGTATTGGCTAGATTACTGCTGTGGTGAAGGGTGCAGCACAGAATGATGTACAGATGACACCACCCAGCGACACTGACTCAGACATATCTTAGAGACCTTCCTCCTAGTCCATTTCTCATTCCCATGGAGTAATCCCACACGACTAGCAGCTACAGCAAAGCAGTGGCTTAGTTGCCACAGCTGGTAAGCAAGGAAACAGGATCTTTGACTCTGGAAGCGTACCTGTTCCAAAAGAGATGGACTGCCTTTCCAGATGCAACTCCTGAGCAGGGCTGCTATGCCATTTACAGATGATCCCAGAGATTATCCTAGCCCAGCAGTACTCTCGTGAGAGACATGAGAAACACTTGTTTCCTACAAACGGAAGCCATGATGGCAGGTAAAAACAAGAGCTTTGCATTAGAAATGCCCGCTCCTACATGTGGCCTGAGAATTTTTTAGTTTGTCTTTCTTTTGATCAGTCAGAAGTGATTCGGGGAAGGGATTGCAGCAAGAGTATAGTGTCAAATATGTTGTTAGATGTCTGACTCAAATACACTTAATGAATGAGAGGAAAAAAGGAACAGCTTCCTGCCTTCTCAGCAGTGATTTTCCTAAAAGGAGAAAACAAGGAGTTTCATTCTTCTTCTTATGCTTGGGGAAGTTGTTGAAATTATAGAGTTGAAAGCTGGGGGCTGAACCCAAATACAGACCCATGGCATTCTCTGTCCAGTTGCAACAAGTCTCCAGGAATAAAACAGGTGAATGCTGCTCGTTGCTTTGAAATGTTTTGTGAGCAGAGGTCGGGTGTCTGACATTCCTTTTCTGTGTAGAGAGGAAGTCTAATTTGCATTGCGTGCATCTCATGGACACTTAGTAGAATAAGGAACCATGCCTTCATAAGGGGCTAGAGAGTGCCTGTGAAGTGATGATTATTCTATGATTCTTAGTTATCCCAGGTGGAATAGCTCTAATAGCAGAAACTGTGAGATCTGCTTAAGAGCAGTAATTAGCACGGCACTGAGGAACCTTGCTGGGATGCAGCAGATCCAGGCTCTCAGTTGGGTATGTGACACTGCTGGAAGAACTAGGTGAGCACAGCTTGCAGAATGCAGCCAGGAGGTGGATGGGGCAGTTTGCAGGTCTGTGGTCTGAATCCCTGAAAATGCTTGGAAGCCTTTTTCAAGGAAGTTTTAAAGGTTGGGCAAACAGTTTCCTGCCCAGTCCTACTCTTGTTATTTGCTTCTAAAACATGGGGTGTCGATTTATTAAAGAACTTTCACTTCTGTTTGAAGCAACCTAAATTTAGAAAGGAAGTCTTGGGCTTCTCATTACTGCTGTGTGTGTAGGCTATTGTAGGGTCTTGCAGATTCCAGTGTGAGGCTGTATTTTTAGCTGTTAGTTATGCTGACTAAACTAGAAAGAGTAAATAATAAGTATTTATTTCCAGATTGAGAACTTCAATCAGGTGTAATGACTGCAAGTTATTAGGTAGGGGTTGCAAATGGATCGGTCAGTAAGTAATTACTGAAAGATGCCTAAGATGTGTGACTGTATCCCCTACGCACCTACAGTGCTCAATAATTTATCCATCCTTGAGGCACTGAGAATTTTCTATCAACAGTTTTCATCTTCCAGAACAGTGTTGGTTTTTTTTCTTTTTACCTTGTTAGTAAGCTAGAGGGTTAAACTCTGCTTTAGGAGATAGTTGCAGCTCCACCAAAAAAGCAGAAGTTCGTAAGTTTTTGTTGCTTGGAGTTTCAGGGAAAAGAGAAACTGTTTTTGACTGAACTTTCCACAGAAGACTTCTGACTTCCAGATATCTCCTTTTAAAAACTTAATCAGCTAAGCAAGACATTTCAGTTTAGGGGCCATTTGTCTTACTGATCAAAACTGAAACTTTCTGCAAACGGAAACACTTCATACAAAGACCTGTAACTCTCCACAGTTTCGATGGAGATAGTTCTGAGTGCTCCAGGCCAGCACCACTTAGTAGCATTAGACTCTCTTAATGCAGTGCAGGTGAGATGCAGTATTTATTTTCATAATTTTAGTGAATTCTGGAAGCTATATCCTTGTCTGTTTTCCCTTGTTTTAAGGAAACAGCTGACACTGAGATAAACCAAGGTGAGCACAAACACTAGAGACTTTGCATTTCCTTACACAACAAAGCTGGAAGAAACCCCAGAGTGGATGTCAAAGGGCTTGCCAACCCTGTTTGTATTATATAAGGATATTATGTGTGTTAAAACTGGCTGAGTGCGGCAGGCCTGACTTAGCCACTGTTGTATCGCTGGCGTTTTGGACGGTATAATGAGGCAGAGCTTCTGCAGGCCGCCTGCCATTGCAACCTGAATTCCTGGACCATCTGCAGTCATGGACAGTGACCTGGAGGGAGTCTACAGAGCTGAGGCTTGGAGGCAGAAAAGAGAAGACTTTTTGGTAGTGATGTTTAATGCTTGTCTGTAGCAGTAATTACCCATTTGCATCTAACCAAACAGGCCTTATCTGGTACCAGCTGCCAGTCTGCAACTGAAGGCACAGCTAACTTGGCTTAATACTTCTGCTAGGTTAGTAGTAGTATTTAGGTTTTCATTCTTATGGAAACTTAATCTACAGCATCATCCTGCTGCCAAGACATGCAACAGTCCCAAAGATGTGTTCTTTCCTCTTTTTTTTTCCTCCTGTGTTATTCGGATTGCCCTATTTGCCAACACTGACTAGTTTGTGATCTGAAGCTAAGAGCTTTGAAGTTAATGGTTTCCTCACAGTGTAAGATTTCAAGTTGAAGGTAGTAGCATCTATTCATTCCTTTGCCAAGAAATGAGCTACTGGGGCAAGAGCAATGCAGTGGTGATGCAGCACTGCTCTTAGCTGAAGCCCACTGTAGTGTTTGAGAGCTCCTTACAGGCTCTTGTGCTCTGTATCAAACTGCCTTGCCCTGCTTCTTAGTGAGGGTACATTCATTTCCTAAAGCAGTGTATAGAAATTACTCTGATTGTTGATGAGACAGATGACTTTGTGATGCAGTGTAGCAGCTAAGAGCTATTTGGAACAGGGCGAGAAGACTTCAGGAGAGAAAACAGTTGCCCAGGTGTCTTTGTGATGGCAATTCCAGTCCTGCAGGAATCTTGCAGTAAGAGCTCTGAAACGTGCTGACCAGCCACTGCTGCAGCTGCTCTTGCACAAATAGTTCAGGGTTAGCACACCGCTGATGTAAAGATCTCTAGGGGGAGAAGAAAATGCCTGCTACCTGTCCACCTTTGGAGGCTGTTTTTTTGCAGCCCCTCACTTCACTTACTTTAATAACTGCATAAGGCATGACAAGAATGCTGGCTTGCCCTGCGAGTGGGGGCAAAGGCAGACAGACCCTATTCTGATAGACTGGAAGTGTCCACGATGTGATATGTGTTTCCAGATGCTTCATTTTCTGCCTTGTCACAGAGCTTTGTCACCTGGCTTCAGCACTGCAGACCTCAGAGGCCCCACGGGAGATCCTGACTCAGCAGTTCTGCACAGTTCTGTCTTGCTGGAGCCTGCAGGTGGGTGCAGGGGGAGGGGGAAGCACACGATGAAATGCATGGTCTGATCCTGCCTCTGTATTCATCACAGATCCTGTGCACAATAAATAGGCTGGATCAGCCCTTTTTGTCATCCTGTCATCGTGAGGAGAAGAGCCTGGTGTGAGGTCTCTAAAATACGAGGCATGGCCCCTTTATACTGCAAAGAATAATCTCCACATTCAAACTGTATTTTTCAGGGTGAGTTAGCAGCACAGTGCTTCCTGTCAAAGGGCCTGTGCTGTGGGAACAGTATCAGCAAGCACTGCAAGTCTCTGCATTGCTAGAATTCTTTGGAGTTCTTCTAAATGCTGAGCCTGACTCCAGCTGCTTAATGAAGTTTGCTGTGGCTCCAGGATTTATCTGGCCTCAAATTTTGAGGCAGAGGACATGGAGAAAATTGGAGAGCTGTTCTAATGGATGAGGGATTTTGAAATTTACCAGTGAGAATGGTTTGTTTATTTGGGGAAAAAAGATGGTGAGGCTTTTTCCTTGAAGTCCTGATACCAGGACAGTCCTTTTTCTCTAAAGTTATGAAACAGCGAGGAGACTTCACAGCTTAAAATCTGAGGCCAAGTGAAATGTGGGTAGAAAGAGGCAGATTGATCAGTGACCAGTTGTTGGTTTTGTGTTTGGTTTTGTTTTGTTTTGTTTTAATCTTCACTGCTGGGGTTTGGGGAAGGTAGTTGGCAATACAGTCTCAAACCTGCT